AAGTGACACCCACCCATAAGGCATAAGGGGGTGGCACGCCTAACCCTAATAAGGGTTTGAAGAGAGAGAGGCACGCCCAGCCTAGATAAGGGAAGTGCTTTGTGGCATGCCCAAATTGTTTCAAAAGGGATTCCAATAAACCTTAATTGTGTTTATGTTCTTTACAACCTTAGTTTTGTGAGGTTTTGCCAAAGGAAGCTTCCCGGCTTAGAAAATTCAGCAAGATCAATATGTTAGAGTGCACCATCGGTCAGGAAATTGAATCTGGGGTTGACACTAGGCACATTTGAGTAGGTCTTTCTGGCTGTTAGCTTTCATTTTTCAGTCATATTTGCATATATTCATCTTCCTGGCGGTTGGCTTTTATTTTTCAATCATGTTTGCATTTTTTCTTGATTTCCAGGAACATTATTTCTACTTAATTTCTTAGTGGAAGCTTGGTTTTCATTCTTGGATTATGCTTATTCAATTTGGTAGTAAAAGCAAAGGACTAAGGTTGTATTTAGGGTTTTAATTTTCAGTTACAGCAGTGCATTATGACACTTTTAAGTGGAATTCAGATTTCTTAGTAAAAGAGAAGAGAAATTTTTTGATTTTATTGCCTTGAATTCCGCATAGCCACTTTTTGCAAAAGTATACCTTGAACAGGTGTTGAACCGTAGGTGAAATTCATTTGGTCGATTTTTATGTAGTCTGTAAGCTAAAATAAACTAGGGGTCCAGGTGTTAGAAATCTGGGTGACTATAGCATGGCTCTCCTTGGCAAGCTGTGGTGGCACTTCGCTGCCCAGGAAGGCCAACTATGGTAACTTGTTGTTCAACCGCCTTACCAAGTGGACTTCTCTAGTTGGCTGCTTAGGAGCCATGCAAATTTCAGCCTTGGGGGTGTAAGAAAGGCATAATCTCAGCTTATCCCTCACTTTTGTTTCTTCGCCAAGATGGGTTATAGGCTTTGTTTTTGGAAGCTGGATCAGAGGGCCTTCTGGTATTGTAGACCGCAATACCGGCTAGGACCGTGATGCACGATACCAGCCTTGGGCATGTGGGACTTTCTTCACCATTTCATTTGCTATGTCCTTTCTTTGGACAAATTTAGGCTTCCCTGCACTGGAGATTCAAGTGGTTATGAGCTACTCCACCTACGGTTTATACTTCACTCCCCCCATTTCTTCCTTTATTTTGCTTTGGTGGGCTACACTAGTTGTCACAATATGGGCTGTTACGCTAGAGCAAAATAATTTTTTGAGCTGTTAGTCCTGGTGACTGGTATTGTAGACTGCATCACCTTAAATAGGATCTTTTGGCCCTCCAATTGTAAGGAATTTAGGTGTTCTTAAGAGGATTTCATTCTAAACTGGTTCGTCAGCCTCCAGTCGAGGCTGCTGACCATCTTGTGGTCTACATCAAACTTAATTTCGATGGTTCCTCTCTAGGTAATCGGGGTCCTGATGGGGTAGGGGGGCTTTTCCTTGACATAGTTACCCAAATCTCTGCCCAAAGGTCACGATTTCGATTCTGAACCCGATTCGGGTATTCCGATTGAGAATCTTTAAGGAACCCATTTCTGTGAAGTCTAGAATCTGGATTCTTTATTTTAGGAATCTCAATTGCAACTCTTATAGAATCTCGTTTCTAATATTTATTGATTCTCGATTCTAGGTTACTCCTTTACTGGAATTCTACCGCCTTCCCCCTCTCACCCCCCCCCGGCTTTTTTTTTCTGCTTTTTTAGAAGTGGTGTTTAGAAGTTTTCATGGCATCAAACTACTGGAGCTAGTCATTCAATCTTAAGCGACAAGATGTAATCATCTTTTTTGGCATGAAATGACCAAGAGAAACCGAAGTGGTGGTCTTCTTGCTTAATTCTCTAAGTATGTGTTGTATTGATCCAATGGAGAGATTGCAACTCCAAGTTTGAAATAATGTAATACAAATAATGTAAATGTGCATGTATGGCATGTTGGTCAATGGCATGTATGGCATGTTTCCCTCTCAGTTCCCTCTTGATTATAAAGATGTCGAGATCTCAATTGCATAAATAAAGGAATCTTGATTTCATATTGGTTGATTCCAACCAGGTCGGAAACTCAATACCAAAGTGCAAGGAATCTCAATTCTATTTGGTCCAATCTCGATTCCTAAAAATAGGAATTTCTTCCTCCATGATTCCTCTTGTGCTGATGTCATTTCTGGAAACAGGAATCTTCTAGCCAGCGACGATTGCGCACTTCCGGTTCCTAAATCGATTCGGTTTCCGAACCACTTTGGGTAACTATGTTCCTTCATCATTCCTCCCAAACTCTTCTCTCTATGCGGTCCCTATTTGAATTGCTGATTCCTCTTTGGCTGAGACTATGGAACTCCTTGAAGGCATCAAACTGTTTGACTCTGGTTGGGGCCTCCCCCTCCTGCTAGAAGGAGACTCCCATAACTTTATCTCATGAGCTTTCAAGGAAGCTGACTATCCTGGAGGTTAGAACAGGTCTTTGACCACATTGGTGCAATGGCAAGCTCTGTGAAGGTTACATTCAGGCACGTTTGACTGCAGGCGAATGCCCAACAGATGTCATAACCAAGGAAAGAGCAACTGCCCAATATTTGTACTCAGTTTAACTACCTTGCTTTTTCTGTTACAGGAATTTGTCATTCGTTTTGTGTAAATTGCCATTAACTTTGCATTGGGGACACAATTAAGTAATATCTTACTTCTTCAATATAGTCAATGATTCTCGTTAGAAAAAAAATCAAGTACAAAAACTGGTGCATGCTAAACTTGAGGTTAGCAGCACTGTTTATATGCGGGATGCTGATTTTTCACAGGCGTTTCATGTATTCAAACTTGGAGATTTGGTTATGGTCTTCTTCATCATGGGCGATTTCATGTGTGAATTTATCACTAATTAAAATTCAAGAAAGTAGGACCATGGCTGGTGCTTGGTATTGAAGAAGGCTGGAGATAATGCATACCTTATTGGGCTATACAGCTTTCAAATATTACTGGTTTTCAATATTTCTTACCTCCATGGATTTCATGGTGAAAATGCTCCAATATCAAAAGTGAAGATTAGCTCAAGCAATTTCCACTAAAACCAAGAGAAAAGATTAAAGATATTTGGATGTTCGTGTGATCAGTACTCGTCATTAGGAGTTCCAACGATATCTGGTTCATTGTATGCTCAAACTTTGAACGATAGCGCCTGAATCATTGAAGCTGAATTGAAAAAGAGTTCGATGATGAATTTTTTAAGCATTATATGGCAGTAAACTTGTTGGATTCAAGATCTTCTAAACTGGTGGGGAGTGATGGGACATGAAATTGATAAATTTCGAGAGACTTCTGGAATTTCTAAAAGTTTAGAGACTGTTTTGGGTTGGTTTCTTTTTGGTATTAGACATTTTGTCAATTTCCCAGACGCCAGGGATAATTTGAGAATTATGAATTTCTGGGCAGTTTTAGGATTTCTAGTCATTGAGATACAGTGATTATGAACGGTCATGGGGTTCTTTACGTCACCTTTGAGATCATAGATGTTTTCTTGGTGTATTGAGATCTATGCTTCATACCATTCAAGTTACTGGGGTTTTCTGTAGTTGGATCTCTCTTTTGTGCTTGGACTTTTGTTACTCTGTGCTGTGGACTGTGATCCAACTATTTAATTCCATTTCCAAGTGAGCTGATACCTCTTGCCCTAAAGCTGTCTTTTGTCTTTTCCCTAACTTGCATCGCATCACGTTATGTCTTCTACAAACAAACAATGACCTTGTAAACCTGCAGTACCTTCTCGCAGACCTAATTCTCCATTAAAGGAAACTGCACTTGTTGTATTCCCCATGGTGGTGCCATGCATCCTGCAACCCAGGCTAATCACTGGTTTTACTTCCGTGGTTGTTTTCTACTTGTAGGGAGGTAGCTGTCACTCCTGTGCTTCTAAACTGGAAGACCAGTCTTTTGTTTGCATTATGTCTGTTTCAAAGCCAATGGCTGAGACAATGATGACTCTTAATTGCATTGTCTTGTTGTTATGATCTGGCTAATTGATTCAGAATTTGAGCCTTATCCTAATTCTAATAAATGGAGTTGAACTGCTCTAAAATCTTTTAAAGGAAACACCTTATGGATATCTTTACAAACAGTAAAGGTATCTAGTATGGAGTGCAAAAGTCATAATGTATCCGGATAAACCAAAAACTACGCAAAACTCGATCAGGAAGCAGGTCAGTCTCTGACATGGTGAATTTTATGTTCATGAAATTGGCTTTCCATATTTTCTATGTGATATCATGAGGACGAGGGGTGATGGCTACAGTGGATTTCCTTATAATTGTGCTAATGCAGCTGATTTGCATCAAACAGGAACCTGCCTACCCACTGAAATTGCTGGATACTAATTCTCTGACTAACCCATTAAGTATGCAGGCTAATTTTTGGTAAAAGCCGAGAAAATCACTATTTAATTGCCCTTCACACAGAGACATGCTGATCACAGACACAACATAACCAATTAGATTTAGTTAAACAGTCGGAGAAAACCAAGAACTGAAACCAAACTACAATTCCTAATGACAAAGCACATGATTCACTTATCTCCCTCCCAATTCAATTACAGGTCTGATGCACTTCTTGTCTAGTCTTAGCCTGAAGCTCAGATTGACTGATGACCAAGGACTCTTCATATCTTTGCTTTCATTCAGGCTTTCAATTAATCCAAGAAACTGAGAATTTAACCAATTTCAACATGGTATGCTTTTTGTGTAGAGTAGCTTTTTCTTTAAAATGGAGTCTATGCATTTAATTTTCTTTGATAATGAAAATAAAGTACCACTCTTTCTTTTCCTATAATTAATTGTGTTTGCTTCATCTGGACCTTTTTACTGGCCCGAGTTGAAATTTTTTATCATAATTGAGGCAAAACTTGTTGACTATTACATGGATACATCGCTAAAAAAGAAAAGAAATTATACTTGGATTTGTCGCTTATCCATTCTCTTGGCGTACCATAGCTGCAATGGCCAAACGCCTGAGGAGGAGCACACAGGAGAATCAATCTCGTGATCGTAAAAAAGGTATCGTTGATTATATAGCTGTTAATGATAAGCAAGTACTGCCATTTGAGTTGCTTAGTTGCTCTTGTTTTCATTTTATATGTTACTTATTTGAACAGCTTGAAATTCTCTTGACAGAGTGTGGAATGAACACAATTTTGTAGATTGAGAAACAAAGGTTGCCCTTGAGGGATATTGCAACATGGCGTACAACCCCGAGCTGGCCTGACTGCAGGATACTAGGTACAAGTTGCAAGTGACCCAAAGTTGGGTTCCTTTTTCTTCTAATTTTTGACATTTGTACTTACTGTAATTTGTTGAGAAAAGAAATCACAGAACATGCAGAGCCTTGAGAAGGAATAACTCCTTTGATAGCCTGCAAAACTGGTTCAATTTTGGCTCTTGATATAATTGTTAAATTAATGTTACACAATTTTGCAGCTTGTGCATTTTGTCATTCATCCCTGGATGTTTGACGAGCAGTTTGAACATTCATATAGAAAAGAAAGTAATTGGGCCTCATTGCATGGGTCTTACAACTTAGTCTTGCTTTTCATAACCTTGATCACACGGAGTACAAGTTATTTTTTGAATTACTGGATATAACATAAAAGAAACGATGAATACATTGGTAATGTATGATAATTTTGGTTAATTAGACTCTATGAAATGGTGGTGGAAAAGGGGGCGAGCCCTGACGGATTTTGGA